CAACCAGAACTGTAGCCGACCTCGATTATGGCCTAGCTCAGGCGTAAAGAAAGGCCTCTTGTCAGTGGCAAACGGGGTGTGTAACTTTAGCTAAGCCGGTAATTAGGCTGGCACATCTCGCACCTAGTGTGCCTTGCCAGTGGGGAGCCCTCTCATAATAGACTGACCTCTTGTTATAACGCTCATCTCAAAGCATAACAAGGGACTGAATCAATATTTATTGATGCCAATTTATTAGGCTAATATTAATAATAATTTTGCACAAGGAATCAAGATTTACAATTACAGCATGAAAACTACTGCAGCAGCAGGAGAAGCTGAGGCATCTAAGGTACCTGAAAGATGGCTCACAGATGCGTTGTGTGTCTGCAAAGAGGGGAGGAGTGCAACGGAGGTAGTAGGCGCAGGTTCTGTCGCAGAAGGCATCTGTGGGTGCTGAAGACGTATAGAGTGAAGGAGTGGCCGCGTGCATCGTGCTGTAGTAAGTGCCTCTAAAAGATCCATATACACTGTATGATGGAGAAGGAATGGGCAGGTGGAAAGTGGATGGTGTGCTGAACGACTGATCAGGTAATTCTGTAGTCGGAGTGGATGTTCGACCGTCAGAGCCATGTCAAAGGTTCATGAGTTGTAGTGTTGCCGTGGAGGTAAGGGGTTGGGGAGTGTTGACATGATAGGTACTGTACATAGACGCACTAGGTCCTGCTGAGAAGGTATGGCTGAGGAGATCCGAATAGAGAAAGTCGCCGTAATAGCCTGAAATCATGCTGAGATCACAACCCACGGGCCACGGAAAGGTGATTGTTAATGCAAGTACTTACTGCTTAAATACTTGTTGACACGATTGACCTTCGAAGAGGGTCTCATACAAGGGAATCAAAAGCAAGGTGTCTAATGATGTGCGAAAGGTCATCTGCTGTTAACTAGTTTGCCTGTAGCTCAGTTCGTAAGTACTTCTGTCATCCATATAGCGTAGAAGGTAAGTTCTTCACATTTTGCAGACCCATTTTCCATTTAAGCGTGTGTTTCTGAACCTATAAGTGACTTCAATTCTCCTAACTCTTGGCTCTTGGATTTCCCCTTTCTTGAATAATATTCAACATGAGCTGGAAATGCTGTGTGAGAGGTCACCAGCCAGCGCAGCCAATTAGGCAAGGTCACCCCACAGGCGATCTCACCGGTGTCCCCACAGGCGAGGGCGGAAAGGTGCTAAGTGAGGTCAACTTAGCTAAATTGACATTTCCTGGCAAACCCATTTCCACATATAATGCTAATGACCCATCGACAGAAGGGTTTAGGTTGAAGAGTATGGCGGCAAACAGCTTGCTTTGAAAGATAACCCGCTCTTGTGCCAAAATGGAAGGCAGGAATTCGACGATGGATTTCAGCTCGAAAAAAAAAAAAAACCTTATTAATCTTCATCGCCTCTCCGCCGTCATTGTGGGAACCGGCAATAATCAAGAAGCAGTTACAGACGGAGCACATGTCCTCAAGCTATTATTAGCTTGTTTGTTTTCTTGGCGGTTTATGTTGGTTGCTGTGTTTGCTTGTAGTTTGAGAATATGTCATAGTAGTGCTTGCAGATTAATGAATTTGAATGACCGGCAATCTTTCGACGAGTCTAGTGCCAGCCATGACTGCTTTCACTTGGTGTAGTGTAAAAGTTTGGAAACGAAGGCGTTAACCAACCGAAAGCTCCTAATGAACATTACTCTTGGATAGAAGTGTCAAAATCTAACTTCAAAGTAGTAGTGTTTCTGGAATGGTGCAATTCTGTCTTTGTGAGGGTGAATTTTTGAAAGCTTTAATTGATGGACTGATTTCAGACTTTCACGCCAACATATAGGAATGAGTCGATATTGTGGTGGAAAAGAGGAGAACGTCCACTTGCAGTGCCAAAATGCGGCTTTACAGGGTTACAGGTAAGTAGCGTGACACATAACACTTTGAGTTCTCGTCTTCATAGACTTCTTTTCAGTGCCCACTTGATTTTTTCCAAGCTTACAAGGGATGGATTATAGCGGCAGGAGTGACATTTCTCGCCATAATTGCTGCTGCCTTTGCTGGAATGGTGTACTTCATGCGGTATCCAATTAACTACCCTTTGAGGCTTCTGGTTACGAGATTACCATAATGGCTTCTCGAAGTACTCTTCCGCCTATGAGAGTTGGGGGGGAGGTTTCGGGTTTCGACGGGAGTAGCGTTCAGTGAGCCTTGCAGAGGGCTTAGAGGACGAAGTTCTTCGGAAAAGACGCAGCGCGGCCCCGCCTGCATTCTTCCTTGAGCATTTATGCATAGTCGATCTTCAGTGCCCGGCAAGATAACAAAACGTTTCTCGTGGTTAGGACTTGTGAAGAAGGTGTTCAATAGTGAACCAGTAGTCACTGAGTACTGAATAAACAAGAAATAAAAAAGTCTAACATGATATCGCCTCAACATTGATAGGTGAAGGTTCCTTAGAAGCCGCTCAATCGTGTTGACGAGTTTCCCGGACGTGCGGGCGAGACTGTATCCTGTGACATCTCTGTACCCTCTCGCTCCTGAGCTGGTCCTTTACATAGTTCAGTACTAAATGTCATCCAATATCGGGGAAAAACGGAAAAACAACCTAAAAACCAAGCTTATAACAATAAATGCGTGACAGAAAATGGTATTCGAAAACTTCGTGCGAGATTTAAGAATTATTCTAAACAACGCACGTTTGCACTTGAACAATTGATCAATAGAGCAGTGCCAAAAAGGTTCGCGAAGTAGATTGTTCCGAATTGCGATGATAAAGACGCGGTAATTCACTGAGTTCGTTACTGTTTTAGGCGTAAGTCATATCTTTTACTTTGGAGTGTCTAAGGTTATGCACAATTTGCCACTGTGGTATATCAGATGTGCGGAGGGTGTTCTTGTATTACTTTATATAGGTAAAGGCAGCCCGTACAGATCAGCAGTTGATCACCATCGGATCAGCTGTTTTGACACGCTATCTGCGGCTTAACAGCGCTTTTTTCCCTTTTTCAGGATTTCTTTTGGAAAGTAACATCTTGTTGGAAACAGAACCACCTTTCTTTGGCAGAGTGCGAAGTTTTCTTGTAAACAGTAGCCGTTTAGAAATTCAGACTTTCGGACTTCTTTACCTTTTTGCCTTTTTCTTTTGACTCTCGTCAACTCTCGTCAACCTTCGATCCCACTTCGCGAAGTGAAGGACGCCTGTTGCAATGGCCGGTCAGGCATGGGCACCGTATAATAATCTATTTTCATATTTCGCACAACTATGGCAGTCATCTAATTTTACATTGAATTGTTGACCAGTGAATGCCTTCTGCTTACGTTGTAGGGCTCCGACACTTCGTGATTGGTGGGGTTGAATAAGGCTTTAATTTCGCCACCGTTTTCAGCAGTTTCGCCAGATTTTTTCACTCTCGTACGCCTGTTTGATTCACAACCAATTACGAATATATATTTAGAGCTAGCATACAGGCTCACGCATCGTGTAATATGGTATTTGCACTTAGTGTACCATAGGCATACGTATAATCATCCGTTATGATGACAGGCTCACTCATGATACTAAGGCTATGCAGGCGTAACCTTGCAGTATCATGAGTGCAATCATGTGCGTACCTGAGATTACCCCGTATGTGCGGTGCACTTCTTTTATCCCTAAAGACAGTTCCCGCGATCGAATGGTCCGCGAAATGCGTCAGTGCATTTGAGATCCTTGTCCGCATTCGCAGAGAATGCACCATTTTCATCAATCGAAACGGCGAGAGAAAGAAGCTATGGACGCCTGATTATTGCAGCCATTGCAGCCACGATTTCTTTCACTCTGCAAGACAACGGCTTACAAGCGGAACTGCCTATGTACATAGAGTCGCCTGGAGCGTCGTATGGTGATTTCCTGTGCTCTTGCTGGGAATTGGTTGCACCTCGAATCCTGCTGATCGGGCTTGCCGACGTTCGACAAACTTGTGCAAGGCGTCCACTGATAGGGAGTCCCTGTTTAGACTGTTCACGAGGTTTCTTTTGATTCTTTTCCTCTGGGGTTTACTTACGGGCTACAGGTTCACGATATCAGCACCCTACTCCCACCCGTACACTTGAAAATTGTACTTTGGCTGGTAGCAATAGCGATACCGGTGTCCCGTATGCACCACGCTACATTCCTGCTAGTAAAACCCTGATTTTGCTGTAGTTGTTTTTTTTTTGTTTTTGTTGTAGTCAGTGTTCATTGATACAACACCAAAGTACTATATATTGCCTCTACATTCATTTTCTGCACGAAACCAGTTCCTCACTGCCTTTAATGGAGAGACTTGTGTCAAAATTTGATAACCTTCCAATTTCAATAAAGAGTGGTGCACGTATGGTGTTGTCAGGCGGATGATTGATCAGGATTTGGGGCCCCACGTGAAGACCTGCATTCTTTTTAGGTAGGTTTTCTACTAACTAACCATATGATACATTGACATAAACTAATTCCGACAATATGAGGTTTTCTTTGAAAAAAAAAGTCAACAGAGAACGCTCAATGCTTTATTTGCGGTGGAAACACTAAAGCAATTCATCTCGATACTTGATTCACTATTTATAATCGAAATACAAGAACCTCACTCTAATGATGGAAGCTGCGTTTGTGCCCATGTACGCGCATCCCCGCCCAAGCATAAACAGAGGTCATAAAACGTTTAGTCAAACGGGCAAATCAGGGGAGATCGTGCAACTTTAATTCTGTAAAAGCTTGCTTAGCTGCTCATATAGGCCGCATCGAGTGTTACATAAGCTGTTTCCAGGGCGAAAAAGAGGGAAGAAGAGCGGCTGAATAAGATGTGGCAAATCCCCTTCACTGCGCTCGAATCAGTTGGAAAGGTCAGTTTCCATGAAATACTGATGGCTCTTTAACCTCGTTTCGTTTTCACTCAACTCTGGATTTTTCACTGGAAGTTTGAATTAAAGCAATTAAGGAATAACAAAAATTAGAAGGAGTCATAAAAGGATAAAGGATAAAGTCTTCGCCGTTGATCAATCCCTTTGTGGGATGCGGCACGCATTCTACTTCCATTCAGAATCGTAGTGGGTTATTGAATGCGATGTGGCCTATACAATGACTTGCGGTGGCCGATGTACAAGTCAGTGTTTTATCCTCCCAGACGAATCTGGTACCAATTCACCGTCCCCGGAGGGTAGAAGGCTTGGTTGGCCTGGGCGGGAGTCGACCCGGGATTTGAACCCGGGACCGCGCGAATGGTGAGCGCCCCACTTGTCACTACACCATCTCCGCCTCAAAGGAAAGGAGTAGTTATTGTTATTTTGATTATGTATTGTCATCAGTAGTATTAACGAAGCGAGGTTGTGTGAGTATAAAGCGCCGATATATCTTATAAACTCACCAACTTGAGGGTTTGTCCTTTCCTGGTATGTAAGACTTTTACTGCTCACCACCTGATATTTCGGGCCACTACACTCAACAGTGCAGCTGAATGGTGGGTCTTTCATCCGTTGTATGACCTCTTCACCAAACTTCTTGTATGCATCATCACCATCACCTGATCCCTTGTGCTGAAATGATGAGAATTAAGCCGTAACCTTCGGATTTTCATCAGAAAGTGTGGCACACGAAGAGTGATAAGATGGTCTCCGAACAACTCGAATGAGAAGTATAAGCAAGAGTTTCTGACAACCGAATGAAGTGGGCACTTGATTATTTGCTTCCAAACAATGTAGAAGTCCACGCCTCTTGCTCATTCAATGGCACCCCTGTATGTCTCCACACTTTTGAATTGATGACCTAACACATTTGTTTCGTGAGACCTGTATGGGTTGTATGGAACGGGAGACGTGCAACAGAATCGTCCGGAGCTCCGCTCGTCGCACGCAGCGCGTCGCGCGGCGAATGACGCAGCGGCTTTTCTACGTGCATTTGCTAGACGATAGCTTTGCGATTAGGGCAGTTGATTTATTACAGCACACGATTGTGCATATACATGGATCCCTTATTCTTCCGCTACTATACAAATCTTCTGCATATTATACATCTATTTTTACAACATTTACAACGACTGGCTGAATTTCCGTTTTTATTTTCAACTAATTTATCGATTTGTTTCATGCTCTGACTTTCTGCACATCTCGGGTTTCTTTATCACTATCAGTGTGCCGATTACTTATTTTTCAAGCACATTTACGAGGGTTGTCATGCTTTTTTTAACGTGACCCCCTTCGAAGAGCGCTAGGACCCCCACCCATACCTAAACCCGTTCGACTGCTCTCCGCCATGAATCACCCGACCACCATATTGAGTGTACATCCCCAACATTTACCAAATTTCATCAATAATTGAAAATCTAACGATGTTTCTCTCGATAGTAACACACAAGTAATTGTTCAGCGGATCCAAAGGCACAACTTCAGGAACTAAACAAAACAAAACAAACGAAGCAGTTATTCTCCCTGTGTTTGTGTGATTCACATTGATTCGCGCAGTCGTTTAACACTCAATCGATGAATGGTCAACTATCTCCTGTGAGCTGCTCTGAAAGATGACACACCAGAAGAAGTATTGAAGACCCTAATGAGTTCATGTTCTGATGAAACTTTTCATTCTCTATGAAAAAAACAAAGAAAAAGCAGAAACTCAATTGTAACTGCACACAGCACTTGACCCTGGGTGATATCAATCTTCTCGGTCCCTTTACTATCCCCATTAAAACGGCC